GTAGATACTTAGATGCAAGAAGATTTAGTTTTTCCATTAGGCACCATGGCACAATGTGGCTGGTGCCTATCTCTTTTTCAACTGGGTGCAAAAATATCTGAGATTTGCCTGAGGAGGAAAAAATATAATGGCTCAAAAATTAATAAATGCTTTTAAATTCTACCACGCATGTTGTATAAACCAATCAACTGAAACACCACTTAACTCTTCTATACTTGTTTTTGAAATTACATTTAGTGTGATATGGATGTGGGGGCATTTTGACATGTCTGATATTACGTATATCATATGTATTTCAAACAGAGGCAATGAAAGTCTTCAAAAAGCCTTGCCTAGATGTACATTTGCTATCTCCTTTTCATTTACGTATCAACTCTACAGGGAAAAAAATACCTGTTTCTTTTAGTTGTTACAGTCAAGTTTTGAAATAATAAGCATTAAATTAACCACCAAGTTAAAACAATTGCTGACTATAAGCAGCAAATTTGGTAGCAAAATATTATAACTATCCAACCAAACCCAAAAAGAGTATGTAAAAACTTCATCACTAACCTTATCTCTTCTGGGATCTCATCTCTGGGGTTCTGTGTAGGGATTAAGTGAATTTCCTTTCCTTTCCTATTGAATGCTCCCACTCAAAGGATTAGCCAATGAGCATTCTAGTTTGCACACACACAATGTGGGGCTTCACTGTACATCCAGTGTTTGTATATTTGATAACACACGGAGTTACCCAAGGAAGAAGAAAGTAAGATTTCACTGGCTCATTCGACAAATATTTACTGTGTACTCCTCTGTGCCAGACACTTTTAGGCCTTGGCTCTACAAAGGTGGGCATGACAGATCTGATTCCTGCACCTGTGGTGCTTACATTCTAGTTGGGGAAGACAGGCCATATAAATATATAAACAAATAAAGCAGTTTGTCCAAAATATTAATAGCAGGAATATAGTGAATAATCATAACTTGTGGATAAGTGAAATGACACCAAAGTTATGAGGTATGCGAGGGAAAAATTGGAAACCCTCAGTTATGAGGTACCTGCACTGCCTGTGAAGTGGTATAGTGCTATTTGAAAGTGGCCTATGATTAGTTGTAAATACATACTGCAAACTCTAGGGAGTCCACTAAAAATGTTTTTAAAATAGAGTAAAATTGATATGCCAAGAGAGAAGAGAAAATGGAGTCATACAAAGTGATCAGTTAAAACCAGAGAAGGGAGAAAAAGAGTAGAAGACAAAAAAAAAATTTTTTTTTTTTTTTTTTTTTTGTCTTTTTCGTGACTGGTGAGGGGATCGCAACCCTTGGTGTGGTGTCGCCCACACCGTGCTCAGCCAGTGAGCGCACTGGCCATTCCTATATAGGATCTGAACCCGTGGTGGGAGCATCGCTGCGCTATGTGATGAAAAGGAGGTAATGCCACCTGAGGCAGCTGGGGGAGGAGGGGACTGTTTCCAACATGGGAAGTGAAATGCACAATTTAATATCATGCAACTGTGAACAGGAAAGATGACGTGGGAAGCTCTTTTCATCAGAGACAGCCTGGCCTCTTGTTTTTATTTCCTCTAATCCTCTAATTCAGTGCAGAAGCCAGCCTTCCTCCCTGGTTGTTTTCTCAAAGAGCCAGAGTTGAGGGCCCCCTTATGTTTAAGGGAATTAAACCCCAAAGAGCAATGTGTGCAAAATGGCTTAAGGTCCATACAGCAAGTCCTTGATCAGTATTATCAGGCAAGGACACTGGCTAGTAAAAACACACCAAAATGAGAGTATAAATAGCCCAAACTTGCTTCCTTCCCACGCCCAAACTTGCTTCCTTCCCACAAAATTCAGTAATACAGACTCCTAAGTGTTAGCATGTCAATGTCTGGTTCCCATATGTAAACTAATCTCAAAATGAATGTAAAATGTTTCTCCTCCCTGAAGGGTCTACAGGGAGCGGTCCACAAGGGCACCCTCACTTCTGACACCAAGTGCACACTAGGCATTCCCAAAGCCAGCCTCAGGTTTGACAATTCGCTAGAAAGACTCACAGAACTCACTGAAAGCTGTTACACATACGGCTCTGGTTATTACAGGGAAAGGATACAGAAGAAAATCAGCCAAGGGAAGAGATCCACAGGGCAGAGTCCAGGAGGGTTCCAAACACAGGGCTTCCAGATGTCCTCTTTCTGTGGAGTCATCCACAACGTTAACTCCTTCTGGCAACAATGTGTGACAAAACACCTGCAGTGCTGTCACCCGGGAAGCTCACCTGAGTCCTGGTGTCCAGGGTTTTTATTGGGTGTTCATCATGCGGGCATGGTTGACTGCCCAAGTGGCTGATCTGTTTTCAACCTCTGCAGTTAGGCTGATACCATGTGACCCAAAGCCCCCACCCTATATCACACTGTTGGTGTGGCTCACAGCTCTCACCCTAAATCACACTGTTACTAGCTGGCTGGCCAAGGTCCCCAGGCAAACAAAGACACTCCTATTATGCACGCCATTCCAAGGGCTTAGAGATTGCCTCCTAGAGGCAAGGACCAGACCTCTCTTAGGGCAAGGTGAAATTCTTTACTGCACATGCACCCGTTTCCTCCTTTTTGTTGGCTACTGTGTGCAGAGACCTGGCTGGAACTGGGCCTCTCCCTCGGGGTAGCAGCCTGAGATGTCACTGTTCCTCAGGCCTGCCCTGGTGCTGCATGTGCCACCATGCATTTTCTCTTCTAGGAATTTTAAATATTAGAGTGATGACAGATGCTGACACTGTCTAAGTACGAAGACAAATCACTATCTTGATGTTTGCACTTGATTTTCCTCTAATAAAAACACCGAGGCACTTGCGTTGATTGTGACAGGCATTAATGATCACCTCCCAATTGTCTTTTGTTCTTTTTTTTAACCTCTGAGCAAAAGATTCCTCCTGTAGTGAAGGATGAGTGTGTCCTCTTTCCTCCTGTAGTGAAGGATGACTGTGTCCTCTCCATGAGACCCTCATCAAAAACTTGCCTTTCCTTGGTTTTTAAGTTTCTGAGTAGCAAATACTCCAAAAGTGGCTATTCTTTCTTTTCCAAAATTACTACTGCTCTCCCCTACCCTGTAGTAAACTTTTCTAGAACAGGGGCTTTGTTCTATGATTCTGCCTTCTGGTGCCCTACCTGGCATCTAATAGGTGCTCAATTTAGTATCTGAGATGGAAATCAACACATTTACAAGCAGTATTAATAGATCATACCTTTAGTTCTGAAATGCAAAACATTAGAAGCCTACAAAACAACCACTTGGGTAGTAAGAAGATAAAAATAATATATATTTGCATTTTCTTATACATGTGTCAAACATAACTGGAAAGATACACAAATTATAACTGTGTTTGCCTGTTTCTGTGTTTCCCAAACCTGGGTTGCTGGAAGGGAGGGTTGAAAAAAAGATTTCCAAGACTGTATAGCCCTTTATACTATTTTTACTTTTGAACCATGTGAATGTATTCCACATTCAAAAGTAATTTAATTAAAAAATTCCAACACTGCCAGCACCTCGGGGCCCGCCCGGAGTCTGTAGGTATGGAGCCTGGGACTGGATCCCCCTCCCACAGCCAGGCACACTGCCAGTGCCAAGGAACATGCCAAAAACATCACCTTCGTGTGGGTGGCCCACCACAGCCACTACAATAACCATGGCTGACGCAAAAGCAGCTAGATGCCACAACCACCATGCAGATGGTCTGCCAGCCACCGGAGTGCATTGACAAAAGGAGAGTCACCAGCAGAGACCAAAGAAAAGAAGAGGATGTCTCTCTTCACAAAGCCCATTCCAGAGTGACAGAAGAAGCATCTGCTCTATGATAATACTGGGGAACCTGAACACACCTCTTAGCATTGGACAGATCATCTAGGCAAAAAATCAACAGAGTAACCATTACTCTTTCAGAAGGAGAGAAGAAATCTATGGTTATCAGAAGTGGGAGTGGGGAGGGAGAGGGGGCCAGGGAGAGAACATACAAGGGACATAAAGAATAAGTACAATTTGTAACAACATATATGCTAGTAATATTGATTTGATCAACATATGTCAATGTTGAACCCCCAAAATATGTATAATCAATTAGGATTCAATAAAAATTAAAAATAATGTGGCAGTGTTGGAAACTAATTGAGTCATGGGGGCGGATCCCTCATGAATGGATTAATGCTCTCCCTGGGGGAGGAGGGGTAGTGAGTGAGTTCTCACTCGATTAGTTCCCACGAGAGCTGATTGTTTAAAGGATCCCGGCACCCCCCACCTCGCTTCCTCTCTCACCATGTGATCTGCTTGTACCCAACAGCTGCCTGCACTTTCCGCCATGAGTAGAAGCAGCCTGAGGCCCGTGCCAGATGCAGCTGTCCCAGAATCGTAAGCCAAATAAACATTTTTCCTTTATAAATTACCCAGTCTCAGGTATTTCTGTCATAGCAACACAAAAACGGACTAAAACAAATATTGTTTAAAAAAAAAAATTCCAGCAACAGGGCAATGATTGGTGAATTATTTATTTTGGGCAATACTGACTGCATTCATTACCATCATTTGATTATTATAGCTCAGAGGAGAGTTATTCACTAGATATTTGGTTATACTTAGACACTAAAAATTAGGAAGAGACTGGAGGGGGTTTCAAAGGGAATAAGGAAATGAGAAATAAGCTCAGAAAAGAACATGAGATCCTGTCCATCCTCATTTCAGGATTAACTAACTACAGTGAGTAACCCAATCAGATCTAACTTAAATACCAGCATCCTAAAAAGGTTTTCTGAAAAAAGTACCATAACAATTATTCACTGGACCAAAAAAAGTCAATATTTCTAGAAGAGAAGATCTCTTTAACACCAAAGATCCCATTTAGGATCCAACTTACTACACAGGACCATGACAAAGCTGGGATCAACTAAGATATTACTGTGTACACAGCCATCTCTAGGGACAAGCTCACTCACAGACAATGTGTCATTTTATGGCATAAAGACACTGTAGACAGTTCTCACATAGATTTCATCAGGGGGAGGCTTCTTCTTGCTGCCAGGTTCAAGGAATCTCTTAATTGTAGGGATATTACTTATTTTCACTGAGTACTCCTGCAAAAGGAAAATATAAAAGCCAAGGTTAATAGCAAAGGTATTAGTTTCTATGAAAACACAGCTGTAGGCTGGCCAGTTAGCTAGTTGTTTAGAGCATGGTATTATAACACTAAGGTCAAGCGTTCAGATCCCCATATTGGCCAGTCACATAAGTAAAAATAAAATAAAAGCTTTAATGTTGGCATTCAAAAAAGATGATGAAGAAGAAAGAAAAGAAAACACAGTTGTGAAAATTGGTCCATCAAATTTGTTCCGTAAATATTTGTTGAGGGGACCCAACCAGAACTGCAATCCAAGATGGCCAGTTACATTTTTCATAGCCTATGGCTCAGATACCAGATATTTATGTAAATTGGAATGGAAAAAAATTGTATCTTTCATTCAGAGTCCAAATCTTATCAGTTTCAGTAACTGAGAAGAAAAGTCCATTTTGACCTAGTGCTACAGTTTACCTAAAGAGCTAAATCTCTATCATTTCCCCTAGACTTTTTAGCTCTTTTGAGTACATTCAATGGAAAGCACTTCACTGCCTGTGAAGTATGTGTGTGTGTTCATGAGCATGCCTGAAAAAATTTCAGATTTGATAAGCTCAGCAAATAAACCTGAAGTTCCCTGCATTCTGCCTTCTGGGCTTAGCATTCCACCTATTTTGGCTATTTTGAACAATATGAGGAAGCATATATTCATCATATATAATTATCTTTTATTATTTTGTTTGTTTGTTTATTATTATTTTTTACATTCTAAGATGTTGTTGCAGAGCAGTTGGGGGTGAGGGAGAGAGGGCAAGGGAGAAGGAAACAGGGTGGGAGAAGAAGTAGGAGGGATGGAGGTGAGGCCTGTGGCACCCTGCTCATTCCTGCAGGGGAGACCAGGGTACTTCCAAAAGTGGCTCAGTCATTGCTGTACTTGGTGCAGATGTCAGGGGGCTGTGGCTGAAGCCCTTGCCCCCCACTGCCCCAGCTCAGGAGCCTGGGGTGCTTATTGCAGTGGCTTGATGGTCATTGCTAGGCTGGTTGCAGGTGTTGGGGGGGTAGGGCTAAAGCCCTCAGACCCCCCACTTCCCCAGCTTGGGAGCCCAGGGAGCTTCCTGCAGTGGCTCAGTGGTTGTTGCTGGGCTGGTTGCAGGTGTTGGGGGGCATGGCTGAGATCCAAGGCCCCCCACCATCCCAGCTTGGAAGCCTGGGGCACTTCCTGCAGTGGCTCAGTGGTCATCGCTGGGCTGGTTGTGGGTGTCAGGGGGGCATGGACAAGGCCCTTGGCCCCCCACCGCCTTGGCTTGGGAGAGCCTGGGGCACTTCCTGCAGTGGCTCAGTGATTGTTGCTGGGCTGGTTGCAGTTTTGAGGGACACAGTTGAGGCCCCCAGCCCTTCCCCCTCCCTGGCTTGGTAGCCCATGGGACTTCTAGTCCTTCTAGGTTTTATAGGTGTGCTTTGGTGATGCGAGACCTTTACTAGTTAATGTCAAATTTTGTCTCTGGTCTGTAGGTATTTTGTTTTTTCTTTCAGTTCTGTGTTGGATTATTTGCTGTTCCTACCACTTAAACTCTGCACTGGAACTAATTTGTTGTCCTTTGCTTACTTCTAAAATGGGGGAACTGTGGGGACCACACCTTAGCTCTGTGGTTGAGCTAAATTTTTGCTTTGCTGCTGATTCTCTGGGGAAGGATTTTTGTGCAGCTCAGGTTTGAATGGTTGATGTTATAGGTATTTCCAGATCTTGTGAGATCTGGTACACCTGGGTTTTGTAGACACTCCGGTCTAGGCCTGAGTCTTTTCTGCAAACTGCACTCCCTGCAGTTCTATATTCCTGACCAGTCTCCATTGAGTGGTCCTATGCTGAATGGGGGGCAGATCAGCTGTCTTTGCTGTGCCCCAATGTTCCCCAGTGGGCCCATCTCCCCTACTGCCTGTGCTCCAAACACTTCCTATGGGATGGGCCATGCACTGGTTCCTTGCAATGACTCACCAGCCTCTGAGTGGCTCCTTTTTTTCAGTTGTTGTGGTTTCTTGCTCCTATGTGGGTCCATGGGAACCCTGTTAGTAGTCTTGCTGGCCTGGGGGCCACCAAGGCCCTCTTCTCCCCTGCCGCCTCCAAGTAACTTCATCTGAAGGGCCCAGGTGTGGCTTCTGCCAGCTCCTGCTCCATGTACTCACTAGGGCCAGCCTTGAAACAGCCGGGGTTCACAATAGTTGGAGTGGTCCTTCCTTTTCACATCGTGACTTCTGCCTTCATGCACTCTGTAGGTCTCTATGCTTCTTCCCCTGAGCTCTAACGACCCCAGCTTGGCTGTCGTTGCTTTTTAGTAGTTGTAAATTTGTTGATTTGTGGGAGAGGGTGACTCTGGAGACCATCTATTCTGCCATCTTGACCAGAAGCCACATTTGTTTCTTTTATTATTCTAATCCCATCAGAATGTCTGACACTTTACAGGCAATGAATAAATTATTTCAGCATAATTTATAGCTCTGATTTCTGTGTTACATATACCACACTTGCTGGTTGGACTTTAAGCTCTGTGAAAACAAAGTACCTGGCACAGAGGAGTAATTAATTAAATGTTTGTTAAGTTTATCTGAGGGTGTTCCAGCAGGCAACAGTTGATCTCGCCCAAGTTTGAATCCAAAGCCATTGGTACTTGAAGCCCATCCTCTTTTCACGATTGCCTCTCCTCTAAATAGAAACTCTAGATGCTTTCTTCCTGACAGCAGTGCTTCCAGTTCATCCACTGTCACTGAACATCAGCAGGTAGCTGGACATCCAGTTTGAGCTCCTGTAGCTTCCCAGGGTGGCCACAGCTGTGACTTCCATTCTCTTTCCAAGGTCAATCTGCAGCCACTGGTATTTATTGGCACAAGGGGGGTCCAGCCACCAACTCTTTTAAGTGCTCCCTACTACTCCTGTGCTCCAGGTCTGAGCAGACAAAACAGCGAGTATCCTAAGAAAGGCTCCAGCAACATAGTCTGTGTTCGCACTGGGGTCCTCACCCCAGAGCCCCTCTGCTGCCTGAGGGGCACCACTACTGTCTCCTTGTCCCTCTTGCCACCTGCCTAATAAAATCTTTTAAAATGAAGACGTCATTTATAAAAAAAAAAGCTACTATTTACTAAATGCCAATTATGCAGAAGGCACAGACTTAATTCAGCACATACACAAATACATATAAACATACATATGTTACTAATATTACCAAAAATCTTAATCATTATGGCAATTAATTATATATAAGTATGCAAATTTCTTTTATTACTTATTTAAGCTCTATTTGTATTATCCAATTTTGATCATTATACCAATATTTAGAAGCTTCTGCCAAAGGATTTATCACTTCAAGATTTACCTGGAGTTCATATTTGTCATGCATGATAAAATTTTGTTAACTTTTTGGTGTGTGGCTGGCTAAGGGGATCCCAACCTTTGACCTTGGTGTTATCAGCACCATGCTCTAACCAAGTGAGGTAACCTTTTTTAACCCTTTAATCAATACAGGAATAACCCTTTAATTCAATACAGATCTGGTGTCAGATTCTGAAATCCTTTAATACTGATGCTCAGTACTTCGATGTATTTCTAAATAATGCATTTTTAGGAAGGCACACAGACTAGAGGAAAGGGCACAGACTTAGATCCCAGACCTTCTGTGACTCCCAACTCAATCGCTCACAGTCATGTGTAATGTTTCCACACCTATAAAATGGGGACAGTAAAGCCCACCTCCTAGGGTTATTGGGGTGGGGATGGGGGACAGATGAACATGTAAGTGCCCAGCAGACTTCTGGAACAAAGCAGGCACACCATAAATAGCGGGTCCCTCCCTCATCTCTCTTCTCTGCTAAGCAAATAGTGCAAAAGAATACTTCTAGTCAAAAGTGTTCTAAATTCTCAATGAATAAAGTCAAATTAAAGTTCATTTCTGTGTCTAAAAGATGAACATACATGTGTGTGTACATATAACTGTTCATATATACATATACACAAAACTATAACATCATAAATACAATAGTGGCTTATTTGCCTTGTTGAGGATTTCTATTTTCATTTTCTGGGTGTATTTATTTAACCAGTGGTGGTTGTCCTCATTAGTATATTAAAATGATGTTTACTAGACTTGGAAAATTTATTTTTTTAAAAAAGTATGTGTATTACTATTTGGGGATTTAGTGTCTGTCTTGGCTTTTGACAACATACAGATGAGAAGCACCTCACTCTGAAGGTTATCTCCATGGAAAGTTCCCACTGGCAACTTTTTATATGGAGTTTGTTCCAAGAGTGTGGTTACGGAACAAAACTAAGATGGAAACTTCTTTCACATGTCAATGATCTTTCAACTCTAAAAATCTGAGGGCCAGAGAAACAATATCAAGCTCATACTTTCATTTCATTTTGCCAACTAGAATCTAAAAAAGCTATGTATGCACATACACACTCCAAGCCAACCAATCAACCGACTCTGAAGGAAGGCCAAAGTTCTGGGCCAATCTTCTAATACATGGCTTTATTTACCTGGAGGAAAGGAAATGCAGACAGGATATTAGGAATTTTCTCTTCTAGAGCCAAAATGGTTTGGAGTAAAATCACATCCGCAAGGCTCAGCTGATTACCAACAAGAAAGCTTTGTCCATGATCCCTTAAAATCTGCAGGGTATAAATGATTTGCATTGGTTATAATACTCTACATGGAGAAACTATGAAGCTATTGAATCAGTGCAGTATCTGAGAAGGGTGTGAAACTATGGCTGTGTCCCTTCTTTTTATAAATAACATCAATTAAGAGGACACTTCCTTATATCTAAGAGACAGTGACTGTGAATGAGAGAGAGAGAGAGAGAGAGAGAGAGAGAGAGAGAGGAAGAGCAAGCAAAAAGGTGTGGAAATGAAAACATCCTTAAATATCTGCTGTAGATCAGAATGAGACACTGAAAGGGGGAGGGGAAACTTCATTATTTCTGGATTTAGCATGCGGTGTCTTGAAAGGATAGAT